AACCTTACCATGACCTTAAATAAAACGAGTCATGCTGGAACAAATCGAATAGTAGTTTCCATCTAGAAACCTCAGTTACATTATAAAAAAGTTGGAACGTTATGCAAAATGCTAGTAAAACAGAAAGCAATAATTTGTAAATTCTGTTTCACCTATATTAAATTCAAAACACTATAAAAAGATGATATTTGATGTTTTGCCTTTCTTGTTTTTTTGTAAATGTAAGCTCATTCAAATTTGATGCCTTCAGCACCTTCCAAAAGATTTGGGACAGGAGCACAATTTACAACTGTGTTACAACACCTTGCATTTAAACAACACTTAATAAACATTTGGGGACTGAAAACACAAACCGGTCGAGTTTTGAAAGGCAAATTTTTGCCATTCTTCTGTTACACAACAGCTGCGCAACCATACAAGGTCTTCATTATTGTATATTGCACTTTATAATGTGGCTTATGTTATCAATAGAGGACAGGTCTGGACTGCATGCAGGCCAGTCTAGCTCCCACACTCTCCGATTATGCTGCCATGCTGTTGTTACATGTGCAGAATGTGGCTTGGCATCATCATCTTTAAATAAGCAAAGACGTCATCTAGAAGGCAGCATATGTTGCTCCAAAATGTATATATATCTTTTAGCATTAATGATACCATTAAGTTACCCATGCCACTACACCACCTTACCATGACAGACTTTGGCTTTTGAGCTTCACATTGGTAACAATCTGGATGGTCCTTTACTTATTTGGCTCAGTCATCACAACGTCCATTATGTGAAAGATTGACTCATCAGACCATAATACATGTTTCCCCTGTTTATCAGGCCACTTCAGGTGAGCTTAAGCTCAAAACTGTTGGCAGCATCAGGAGCAGTCTTTGCACTAGGCAAAGGTAGGCAGTCGCCTAGGGCCCCCTTGAGCCAAGGGCCCTGTGCAAATTCAAATTAGACATAACAATGGGTGTTGTTGAAATGTGGCTTCCACAGCATATGGTGCTAATCTGCATCCCGTCTCTGTCAAAAAAAGCAAGTATTTCATTTTTCATTACATTTAAGCATATCAGCTGCTCTTTACTTTGTATGAAAATATCTTGATGAATGGACCAATAGAAATGCTCTAAAACTGCTTTACATTGACTTGCAATATAAGTAAAGAATGTTTTGCCTTCTCTTGTAAAGTTAACATTTTTCATTAATATTTGAAGATACATGTTTATCTTTGGACAGCGATGATTTGTGGACATTGTTTATTGACAACAGTGCGTCAAAATTTCACTGGTTCCATGTAGGGATATCGATGAATTCCCGTGGATTCCCTAAAAAGAACCGTTGTTCTTAAACTGTTGTTCACTAATACATAGTTAAGGAAAGTGGCGAGCCTCGACCCACCCTTTCACAGGACCAGGCCTTTCCTGGATGCTCCTTTTAAGCCTCAGCATCATTTGTTTAGGATGTTTGTGAACATTCTTAGTCCAAGTTATCGCAGTCCTGACATTTTTTGGAACAGTTTTCAACTTCAGAATGAGTGTACATTTACAAAATAACAATGAAGTTGACAAGGTCAAACATTAAATATATTAAAAATGACTGACACAAATTGTACATAAACAGACAAGCTGCAGTCTCTAACTGTACACCAGCAATATGGAGGGGCTTTTATTGAAGTGGCCATGTTGCATTCTGTGGCAATTTATTGTTATAGGCGGAGTGCAGTAAATATTAAATACTCATATTTGAGAATGGCTCTTCCTGTTACAGAGAATTGGAGCAAAACAGCTCTATTCAGTATGTGTATAATTGCCTTTACATGCATGTAGTGTTTATTCTTGTGAAAGGAAAGTGATGTCATGACTGCTGATTCACTCTTGCTGATTTACTGTCTTTCAGGGTTAGTTTTGGAAAAATGAGCCTCTTCCGTGTTCTAGAAAGGCAGTTTCCAGAAAATGGCCTTGATATCTAGTAGAGTAAATCATTCATCAAAACGCCTAATCTTGTCTTTGTAGTGCTTTCGTTTCGCACTTCTGCATTCGCATAGTGAAGCAGGCTTTGTGAGCCACATTCATTAAGTAGTTGCAAGCCAAATAGAAAGTGCTTTATTTCTGAGATGGAAAAAGAGAATGTTTGTGTGCTGCTTTGTAAAGTTTCCTATGTCTCGGTTTCGATTCCTTGCTTTCTTTCAGTGTTTTTCACCTTGTCTGGCTATCATAGCTACCCTCTTGAATGTTCCGAAGTGGGCGAGCAACTGTGGCAGGGACAGGATTGCGTGAAGACCCCCCGCCAGTCGGCTTGTCTCAGACCTGCTCGTCTTATTTACATGCGGCTGTCTGGACGTCATGTAACCACAGCCTCTCTCAGACTTCCTCTGTTAGTTAAGATGAGTGTTCTTTTTCTTCTTCAGAGTACAAGGACCCTTCCAGTAGGTGTTAGGAGTACAGTTGAATCATCACTGCTAAAATGGCTTCTGCTTCTTTAGAGCTTTTTTTGGGAAGCGTGGGCTCTGATGAACCCTGCAGAAGTTCATGTAGCACTGGACATTTTCAGGGCGTTTACATTTTGCTATGTAACATGACAGATCTAGCAATATCGTTCAGCGTCATGCAGTCGTAGTATACCAGAGTTCAAAAATAAATGATGGATTTAATATGTGGCATAATGTACAGCACACTTCAAAAGTCAGAGACAGATATTTAACAGAAAATTATTTTCTAATTTCTAATTAATTGCTTTCAGTTTTTCAAAGAAATCTACAGGGATATTTTTCTATATCTACAAAGTTCAGTCAAAGTTCAGTCCAGAAGTTGGTTGCACTTTCTGCCTTTCACAATCCAAGCAATCCCAAACATATTTAGTCGTGTTGAGATCTGGACTATACGGTGGTCAGTCCATTGTTGTGAGCTTTTTTGTTTGATTTGCAAACTCCAGTCCTTTTTTTTTTAACTAGAGCAAAAAACTCCTGTTTTTTCACTAATTGTGACTTTAACTTTCTCCTTCATTATGCAAGTGTATTATCTTATATCTCTCCTCAGAAATATCCTCGCAAAAAATGAGTAACTTGTACTTAATGGATGTTTTGACAGGAAGTTAAATAAATGATGGGTGGTCTCTGACTTTTGCTTGGCACTGTATATTATTGTACAAATTCTGTTTGTAAACTGAAAGTATAATGTAGCTATGAAATCTTGAAATAGGACTAGTTGCAGAGTTTGCATGCACATCAGCATGTATGCCTACTCTGCTGTGGTGTTAGTATTTTTAGCAGCCAGTGCACTTTTTAGAGAATCACCTTTGGCCATATTCTACAAGAGAGAGCAGATACAGACAGCAGTGTAAATGGGAGGATCTCATAAATAGAACATTCAAGTGAACCAGAGAGGAAGTGGACTTATTCACTGCAAACCACTCAGCTCAGTTTTTGAGTGCGAGCTCAGATGGTAGTTCAGATGGTCTCAATGGGTAAGCCCCTGTTTATTTTTGTCTGTCTAAATTTATTAGCTAAGTTTGCAACCTAGTACTCCTGAGGACTGTTGGCCTGTTCTGTTGGAGATTAGTTTATGGTAGTGGCTTATGTCTGTTTAAACTCAAAGGGTTCTGCTGTTTCTTTGTGCTTGTGCCAAGTGTAAAACCCAAAAGAGAAAGTATGCAGGGCTGGTACTTTCCATCCAGGGTTTTAAAGGATGTGGGTCAGAATTCCCTTTTTTGCCTAACTGAAACTTGAAAATGTGGGCAGTGTCATGAACCAAGCACTGGTGGATCACCATTGCGATGCATTCAGCCAGGTATTCGACATTTGTCTTTTAGCGCTTGGACGTTGAGCCTTTCTAAATGTACATAAAAGGATTTTTGCATGCTGATTTACCAAAATGTCTCAATTTTTTATCAGTTTGTCAAGTTCATGCCAAGTTAATGGTGGTGTTGATTATAGGAAGTGTATTTTACCTGGGCCTTCCTTTTCTAATACTCTTGAGTCTTGCAGTTCACAGAGATTGTGCTTTACTACCTAGTCAGCTTAGCTGCCAATTATGGAATGGGAAGTGAGAGGAGTTATTCGTTCTGCTTTGGATTGCAGGGGAAAACCCTCTTGGATTGGAAAGTCCAGGAAATTTGCCATATTTGGGCTAGTGCTGATATTGCGGCTGTAAAATTTGTGCTCATAGGTTTAAGAAAGGTTCCCTAAAAAGGTACACAATTTTCCTTTTGTTTCAAAGGTAGTCGATTGGCCGAAATGTATTTGATGTCTGAAGTTTGCTTCACTGGAGGCTAATAAAGCTAAGTAGTCATCTTCTTGGGTGGGAGACTCTTATTGTTTTAGCCAAAAACCAAAGAAGCAGACCTCAGTAATTTAACATGTCTTGGCCTATTTTTGTGGCAAGCGGAAAATTGTATATATTTTTGTTGTTGAATTTGAACTCTGTAAATGTGAGCAGTATGTGGCTTTACAAGGATCCACCGATGCCTATTTATGACTTTAAAGAATAAAACTATATACACATAAGATATTTATTGTTGCTGTCACACACAAACCTTGTATATTTCATTTAAGTTTGTCTTTTTTTAGCATAATTTGGAAACTCCAGTTACCCTTTGCCTTGTGTTAAATTTGATGATTAACAGACCAATAAAACTGCTCCAAAATTATTTGGAAAAAAAATCTAGGTAGCTAATTGTCATTACAAGTTAAGGTTATTTTTCCTTTTAATGTAAAGCCAACATTTTGGAGATATGAGGTTTTGTTTCAGTGACAGCAACGACATGAGAACAAGTCTGGGACGCCTTTTCCATCATTGGTCTAGAAAGCTTTGGTTTTGCAATGGCGCACGTCTGGACATTGGTTACGTGGTCGCCTGGATCTACTGTAAAAGCCAGTGGAGATGGGGTGGAAAGTCCCTCTCCTCGCCCATAAGCTTAAGCTCTGAGTGTGAGACCCAGCCAATCAGCTTAGCAACGCCAGCCAACAGGAAGTCACACTCTGACACAGACCGTCCATGTTCGCATTGTGGCCATGGGGAGGAAGTGACTTGTCACTATTTGCAAGCTTTAGATCATAGACTGCCTCCATCTAGCTCCTCCACTCTATCAGTCCCTGAAACCTGCCGTCAGCTGTCTCCTTCACGATTATGCGTTCAACTTCAGCCAGATAACATGGGAGTCCTGTTTCCATGGCTTTGTCATTGAAGAAGAAGAGGCCGTTTGTACATCCGCATCAGTCTGTGAAAATGTGTCTGACAAATCTGAATATTTTGTAAGTATGATTTGCTTCTTTGCTGCCTGGGTCTTATTCCACTTATAGTCTGACAACACATAACCATTAATGTGTCACATATTAGTACTGTATGTGAGCTGACACACTTGCGAAGATGTACCAGTGAGCACGTACAGCGATTAGATGATGTACTTTGCTATTACTTGGACAGCAGATAAAAGTGAAACTGAATGTTCACAAGTGGTTAAAACTTTACTCTGCAAACCGCTGCCTTGAACTGTTGCCGCTTTGACAAGTTTTTGTGGTCCAAAAGTCACATATATGTGATAATCGCCTCCTTCATGCATTGTCATGTAATGTGTAGACTTGACGTTTAAACTTCTAAAAGGGTTAAACCCTTTAACACCTCGCTAGTCCAAATTCTCAAGCAGCAAATTCAACTCAAGACTTTAGGTTCCTTGATGTGGTCTTGCCGAGACATCTGGTATCTGATATGATCAAAATCAAAATAATGAATGATTGATTCAGAGCTGAGTGCAGATGGTGATGGCGTGTTTATGTGGTTGTGAAGAAGTGGGTGAGCTTCCCACAGCATGCGAAACAGCAGCCCACACAATCTCAACAGCCAGGTTTGCCAAGACAGTTGTCTGTTTAGTCGCTTTTCTCACACTGACTCATTTACTCTTGTTGCAGCCAGGTGTACTGTTGATTTGTGTCATTTAGAGAATCTTGCATGTTCCTCCTGCACTTTTCTTGAGTTGTGAGAATAGTTTCCTGTCCTGAGCAGTGTGCCCATATTTGGAGACAGGAAATGATGTGGGGGAAATCCATGGAGCGGAATGACTGCATGCAACTTCTTGGTTATCAGTGCTATACTTTTAGCTTTATGTTCTTTCAGAATTAGAACATGGAAATGTGTGTCTGTTCCAAAAGGGAACAAAAAAATCTTGCACTCACCGGCCATATTATTAGAAACCCCTAACTTGTACAGTAGTGTGCAAAAGTCAGAGATCACCCGTCATGTATTTATCAGTCAAAGCAGCCATTACATTCAAAAAAGTATTAAAAGCCACAGAGAAAATGGGACCAACCGTGCAGGACATGGTAGACCACCAAAACTGCCCGGTCAGAAGAGTCCTTAAAGCCTTCATCTTTGAGAGAGAGGAGAAAATCAAGCTCCACTCTTATTTCGGATCTGAAAAAATCCCCAGGTGTTTCTGTTCATCCTTCCACTGTGAGAAGACAACTCAACTCTATGAGTCTGAAAGGATATGTAGCTGTCAAGAAGCTCTTGCTTAGAGTAGGAAACAGACACGAAAGTAGAAAATGCGCAAAATAAACAAGAAGCTGCTGTTGTTCTCAGAAAAATAGACTGACCACCTCAGAGTTGATTGTGTTTGGGATCAGTTGGACTGTGAGAAGCAGAAAATGCAACCAACTTCTAAGACTGAACTTTGGAGGTATAGAGAAATGAATAAAAGCTGTAATAAAGGTAAAGAGTGGACACACTAAATACTGAAATATAGATATTTAGTTGTAGAGGCTTCATTATTCAGTTGTAGAGGTGTAATTGAAGAACTTGTACTTAAAGGCTATTTTGACTAGATACAAATTAAATGAGGGATGGTCTCAGAATTTTGGAGAGTGCTGTAGGTCCACCTTGCTGTTATACACTTGTAGGTCATCTGTTTGTGTATAGTTTGTGTTTGCCCTCCAGTAGCCCTTATTCAGTGGTCATTTTGTGACCACGTAGCCATTTTTGGCTGGATATGTTTGGGTGGTGCAAGACTCTCAGCTTAGCAGTTTAATGTGTGTAAAAAACCCCAGCGCCACCACTGTGCCTGATACCTTCTTACTACACTCACCCACACTACCATGCAGCTTCCACATCAGTGTCCCTACTTTGTTGACAATAGTCCACCACCCAAATGAAATCTTGTGGTCCTGTGGTCAGAAACTGGTTAATGATGAAGGCGGTTGATGATACTAGTACAGTGTTCAAAGAGCTTATATGGTGACTCAAGTGATCGTAGCTTCAGTCTGTCTATCTGATGCAAACTGTTATCAGCCGGTTGCAGCAGGTATCACTCCGTCATTTAGATACTGTTGCTTTCTTCTGAAACCTAGACTAGAGTTAACTGAGGATTAGTTGTAATGTTCCTCTGATTTGCCTGTAGTAGATGAGCTAAACTGCTGTAGTCTGATACATGAACAGTACTACACAAAAGTCAGAGACCCCCTTTCATTTACCTTATTTCCAGTCAAAACAGCCAAGTTCAGTCTTAGACGTTGGCTACATTTTCTGCTTCTCACAATCCAAGTCAAACCCTACATATTTATCTATTGAACCTTAGTCCACATCTCAGATGTCCAGTTTTGATTTTCTACTTTTTTGTATGTTTCGTTTTCTAGTAGCAGCTCATTGATAGCTGTACATCCTTTCAGGCCCATAACGCTGAGTTTTCTTCTTACAGTGGAAGGATAGACAGAAACAGCTGTGGATTTTTGAGATCTAAAGCAAGAGTGGAGCTTGATTTTCTCCTCTCTCTCTCAGAGATGAAAGGTCTTAGTGCTGTTTATCTGGGGTGACCATATGTCCTCTTTTTCTAAGACACATTCTCTTTATAGGACTAAAAAAACGTGCTGGGCTGAGATGTCTAAATTACCTAAAATGTCAGAGATTTGAGTTTGCTTTCATATTGACATTTGATTCTACAGTCTACCCTGTGCTGCCATCCTGCCCCCAGTGTCTAGTTTGAAAACCAAAATACGCTCTAATTTATCTGATGGTGACCTATTGCGGTTGTCTACTAGGTGTTCTGTGGTTATTAATAGTCACATTTTCTCAGAACCTTCAATTTTTTTTCACTCCACATTTGGAAACTCCTGTTTTTTCACTGGTTTTCTTTTTGACGTTCTCTTTCATTTTACAAGTGGATTGCCTTAAATCTAACCTCCGTAAAAATATCTCCTGATAATAAAGTATTTGTGCTTGATGGAATTTTTGACTGGAAATTAAACGAATGATATTTTATGACTTTTACACAGCACACTGGATTTTGTGACATCATTTAAATTGTATGATTTTTTTTGAGGCTTTGTTTCAATTAATGGACTGTATGGACTGGAAATAGCAATGCATACAATAACAGTAACAATGCCGAACACTTCGGCATGAATGGACGGCCTCAGTTGCTATGGGCTGAACGAGTGGTCATGTGTAAATGGTCATGGTTGTGATGTCACAATAATTATAAAGCTGGTTTTGCAGCTTAGTTTTCACATATAGACTGTATGGACTAGGGAGTGAGCAGTACGTGTACACACAATGTCAAGCTTTCAGAAATTTGGTTGTCCATGATTTGCACCAGATAGATTTGTACATGAGCTATTATAAAACTGCTGTGGTGACAATAGTCTGTCGCCCAAAGAATAACTTTGCAACATCAATACTGTGGTCAAAAACTGATTAATAATGGAGGCAGTCAGTGATGCTAGTACAGTGTTCGAAGAGATTACAAGGTGACTCAAGTGATCATAACTTCATACGTCTTTCTTATGCAAACTGTTGTCAGCAGGCATCACTGAGTCACTTGGTTACTATTGATTTCTTCAGAAACTAGACAACAGCATTACTGTGAGAGAAATAAGTGTTAGACCTCTGATGAAACTGCAAACAGTGTGTCTCGATAACATCATCTGGCTGGTCACTTCCATGAAGCTTCATTTTGTTAGGTTGTGCAACAATAAAGTATAGAGTGTGGTCTAAGAGAGGAAGCTGTCTGTTTCTTTATTAGTGTTTGTGTCTTACTGGATCTGGACCGTTGTTTTGGTGTATTTAGACCCAGTACCGGTGCTGGACTATGGTGACTCTGAAACACAGGGTGTCTGGAATTAGAATTGGACCAGGAAGTCTATGTGACTGGGGCATGATCTAAGAATGTGGACAACAAAGTTTTCAAACACATGGTCTTTTAGGCTACGTTCACATTACCAGGCTGAAGTGGCACAAATTGGATGTTTTCCAATCTGATATTTGCAAACCAGATCTGAGCCACTTTCATATGTGGTCCTTGGCTAATTTGTGGCCATGGGAACTTAATATGAAGATCAGAATCCATGCGTTTTTTTTTGTTTTTTTTTACCATTCAGCATTTTTGTGGCAGCAGCACCTAACCTGAAGTTATTGATCAGGATGTGTGCATACAGGTTATTTCAGGATGCAGATTCATTAGACATTAATAATGGATTTGATTCACATATCTACACTAATGTGAACCATCAGGTTAGACAGATCGGATCTGAGCAAAAAATAGGAATTGAGCAATGAGGCCTATAATGTGAATGTAAACTTATATAAAATCCTAATAACAAGAGTTTTAACAGCTCAGTTTATATGCATGACCTGGGTAATTAACATGTTATTATTATGCTTCATTATTAAATCTTAAAGGGCATTGCAGCCTAAAACTGTTGTGCCTGTGTTATGTAGTATTCTGTAGTGCAGTATGTGTTACACAAATATGCCGTACGGCTCTCAACGAATCCTGACTGCTAGCCACTGATCTAGCACTGATCTAAAAAAAAAAAAAACAGCCAACCCACAAGTATCCACCCCAGAGCACTTGTAGTCTTTTAAAGTTTACTTCCACCTTCAAGAGACATCGTCAAAAGGGGCTTTTCCTAGTCTTTAAACCAGAAAATCTCACATTTGGCACTGATATTAGAGGCAAGTAGGCTTGTTTACAACGGATGCAGCGATGGATACATTTTTCATTTTGGCCAGAGTGTCCTTGCAAAAACAGTTTGAACATTGGTCACTGCCTTTGGTATGTGTGCAAACGTCTTTCTCTTTGTGGTAGGCCCTGAGCTGCCAGTGAGCTGTGATATATTATTAGTCTTGGGGAAGCTGTGGCTGTAAAAGTATGACGTCTAAAATTCTGTGAAATGTCATGCTGCATAAATCAGCCTGGAAAGAGATTTTGATCAGTGAGACCTTCCTTTAGATCCTGGTGCAGTCTGGGCCATTTACACCACTTTTTGTTTGCATCCTGTTGAGGAACTCAGAGAGTTGGCCTACGTTAACCAAACCCCTGGGTTATCTTGAGGAAAGCCGCATCAGGAAGTTCACTGAATGAAACTGGCATGTTTGCCAGCCCCCCGGTTTAAACTGGTTTCTGTGAGCCCTTTTCCCCTGGTTAATATCTCAGTTTCAGCACACAGAGAGATCTGAGGTTCAGATTATATTGGTTATCTAACCACTATATAACTAATTTCATCTGCGTTTTACATGTTAAATAATTTACTCCGCCAGTTGCCCTGAACTAAATGATTCATGAACCCCTGCCAGTTTTAGGGCTTCGGCACTGCAGTTTTGTAATAACTGGCTCAAGTGCAAAAGAAGTGAATGGTGAGCTACTGCTGTTAAACCGAACTGGAAATTTTAACACTATTAACACCTTAAAATTTCAGGCTTATTACATACCAAGGCTGATTATTCAGTAACTACTTCAATGCAAACTGGCTGAGCTGTTATTAGGTTATAGAAGTGTGTAATAAATCTTTGTGCCCACTGGTGGGCCCTGGCAATTTAAGGGGTTAAATTTTCAATACATAGTTCACTCTCCTGTCCATATATGGGAGCTAATCCGCAAAACAGCCTGTTTTAAAATCACAGATTTTTGTGATTTTCAGCCTGCAGCAAGTTAGCCCCGCCTATTCACGCTGAAGTTATTTGGAGTGTTTTAGCCTGGACTGCTTTTTTGGATGAGGCAGAAAATCAGAAAATAGGTCATTTGCATATATCAGCCTTAAAAGCACAGTAACAAAAACAGCCTGTTTGATTCTAAGGAATAAAGATAGGTTGGAAAAATGTAATATAAAAATGGTACATAAAGCCACAGAAAATTGACCTTGGAGGAAAAAATATAAGGAAATATAGAATGTTAGCCCCTTAACCATTGTAGTTAAAGATATACAAAAGCTTGCTTACAGGTTTCGTGCTGACGTCATTCTGATCATGGCTCTGCAGATCCTGTGAACATCCGGTCTGGTAGCCTTGAAGCATTTATTTACAGCCTTCTGAATTCTCCATACATATAAATAGATTTCATTGTGCACGTAATGATGCTATTAACACTATACAACATTATATTAACCCCTTATAATACCAGACTTTTTACATACTAAAGCGTTTTATTCAGTAACTACAGGGACTTCAGTGCAAACTGGTTTAGATATTCTTAGGTTATAGAAGTGTGTAATAAAAAGTTTTTTCTCACATAAAGAGACGTAAACATAGTTAAAGTTTCAAAATGTAATTTTGAAACAGGCATCTTGAATTCATGGTTTGTGATGTCATTAAAACCAACACATTTTAGTATAACCTTCTGCTCAGTCTATAGCAGTTTAACTACACTCATTCAAACTGAAGTTATAAGATGTATTTCTGCTTTTTGAATGAAGCACAATACAGGACAGCTAATAGCCAACAGAGCTCATTTACATACATCAGGTTTAAAGGCACAGTATTAAAAGCAGCCTGTTTAATTCTGAGATAAGAAGAGGTTGGAAAATGGGCATGTCAAATATATTATTACTGTTTTTGGTACATAAATATGTAAGTATGTAGAATATGAACCTTCTTAGCGATGTATGCAGTTGGGTTAGCAGGTTGATTTCAAAAGCCGGTTGGATTTTGTGTCACCTGTGCAAGATACTGCGGTTGCTTGAGGTTCATTTTGTATACATTAAATCAAAAAATGAATTGAGCTGAATATTGTGTTATGATTGTCAGCTCTTGTAGCTAATCTTGCATTTCACACCTCGACACCTCACTGTCATTTCGTAGGTGTGATGTCTTATTTTTACCTTCTTTCACCTACACAACATTCTTGGGGAAAGGAAGACGCCTCTGATGCAAATGTGGTGGCCGAGAGTGTGTTTTCCGCTCGGGTTGGTGCTCCCTAGTGGAAACTAACACAAGTTCAAAAGAAGAGAGATAAAGGCCTCTTGTTTGTCCTTTCAGGTGCCTTGAAGTGAAGGCCATCAGAGGGTGAGCAGAAGATGTGTTGTTGTGTCACAACCACACCACACCACACCAATTTTAGCGTCTAAAGATAGCATCAGATTGTGCTGTGCGAGCTCAAAGTTGGTGGAGCAAAAATTCTTTGCTGGCATGTCCACGATTCAGTCAACATTCCCGCAATCTCGAGGACATTCCCTCTTTTGGCCCATTTGTCAGATTACTTCCTGACCTTTGGGTAATGTTGTGTATCTTTCATGCTACATTTCCATTCTCCATTCTTTGGGCTGAGCCCACAGTTTCAGTTGTCCCATGGCACTAGATAATGTCTCAGCTCCACCCAGCAAGTTTTCAGAGCAATTTAGGAGAAATCAGATTCAGACATCAGACAGACACTTTTATTTTTTCCCATCTTTCACTACTTCATAAGCCTTGGTGTGCATCTACAGACTGGCTGTCGGGCACCGGCCGTCACACAGTGAGCTTGAAACAGCAAACTCTGCTGGAAATCTGTGACCCGCAGCACGATCAAGAGCTCAGGAGGGGATCGCGCATTCCACGGGAAACGTGCTTTTTCCTGCCTTTCCTGTCTTGGCTTTGTCCGGTCCAGGGTGAAGGTTTGGCTGGAGGGTTTGGGCTAGTCAGGCTGGCTTTATTAGGGCTGTGGTGAGAAGCTCCTCAGTCTCGTATGGATCTCCTCCCAGCTCTAAGCTCCGCTGCCAGCATGTTCAGTGAGAGCACGGCAGTAAAAAGCATAAGAAGGCGGATGAGTAAGAGGTAAGCGCAGCCTGTGTGTGTGTGTGTGAGAGAGAGAGAGAGAGAGAGAGAGATAGAAAGAGAGAAAGGACTAATTTTGAGAGAGCTGAGTGCTGAGAGTGGAGAGAGAGCATTAGGGGAGTGCACTACATGGTGGACTTGGAGTGCTGATTCCATCCGGGAGTCATTGCTTGATTTTTCATGTCAAAACCTCGTTTGTCATTTAAAATTTCAGAAATGTTGACATGTTATCTTAAATGGTCTATAATTACTTGCAATAAAATGTTCAGGTTAAAAAGTTTTCTTTCTTCTGTGAAGCTACCGTTTTGAAGATGCAATGTTTTCTCACTAGAGCAACGACTGAACTTGCTGTGGAGTTGAGTGGAGATGGTGTGAAGTTTCAGTCCAAAACTGAACTTGAGCTTTCTAAAGTGCATTTTTCAAACTAGTGCACTTCTGAAAGATAAAGTGGGCCTTTCAGTATGTTTTTTTTTCTTTGTTCTTGCTGTTTCCTGCCTCATGTTCTTTAAACGCCTCTTCGTGTATTTGTTTCTGGGGCATCACACAGTTGAGTTTTTAACTTTTAACTCATTTAATATTTTTCAGTTTTTCATTTGTTCAGTTACTTTTCGCAGTAGCCGTTAAATGTGTTGTCCCCTTGTTTTAGATGTTCTTTTGCAGTTTGCACCTGTGCAGTTTTTTTCAGTAATGTTGATGAATTATATTTCAATAGATCATTAACAAACTAGAATCTAACTGGATTTGCATCGTCATAAGTGATCAAGCAACTCAAATTTTCGTAGGGCAGTACACAACTTTAGATATAAAAAAAAGCTGCAGATGTGCTATCTGTTGCATCTCGACACGGCCGTCTGTGCCGAGATACAACAGATGTGAGAGGTGTGAGTTTTTAGAGCAGGATGTTCTTATGTCTCCCCTTAACCTCTCATTTCTTGCTAGCAGCTCAACAACTTCTCACACACAGAGAGCCAACAGTGTCCTAGTTAATCTGATGAGTTCATTTTTATTTGACTGCATTAATTCAAAGCATCCACATCTTTTTCCATTCTGTTGGTGGAATGGCTGCTAGGGGGCCTGTGGAAAGAGGCTGTGGAATACATTTGTCTTTTTTTTCTGTTGATGAGAAATCTTTCTTCTCTACTGTAGAAATATGGCCACTGCACAGATCTCCTGGCCTGTCCCCATGAGGGCTATTGGAGCTCAGAATCTTCTGACCATGCCTGGAGGGGTCACCGTGTCTGGGTACCTACACAAGAAAGGGGGCAGCCAATTCAGCTTGATGAAATGTGAGTACCATTGCTTAAAAATGAAAGCTATCACCATACATCTGCTATTTGGCACCACCAAAATGGTTTTGAAAATCCTGGAATATATTTGGTTTTCGTGCCAATCCCACAGGGCCTCTACGCTACATTATAATCCACAAAGGCTGCGTCTACTATTTCAAGACAAGTACTTCTGCTGCACCCCAAGGGGCATTCTCCCTCAATGGCTACAACAGGCAAGTTCACTTCCCCTGCTTACTTTACTTCGAAACTGTGAAATGCTGTGTCTGCTTAGCTAGTGAAGACACTAATTATGTTTGCTTCTAGGATGGTAAATAAAATTAGAATTTCAGAAGTTAACCTGCTACAGAAATGCAGCTCATATAGAGCTCAAAATGGACACTCGCTGTAGTTATATTTCGCGCTAGTTAGCCACATCCTGTCCCCAATTGAGCCCCTTGAATATGAGTCTCAAAAGGTATCAAGGGTTTCAATTCTGCCCACAACTGCACAGAAACCTTGCTTCTCATGAATGTCAGGTCAGTGGAGATGTTGCGTGCGTCTCGAATGTTCTCTTCGATTTTCCATATTCAGGCTAGCTTTTACACAAGAGAGAAGGCTGAGAGCAGAGCAGCCTGCAGTAATCCTCTCAGTTCCTCCCTGTGTGGGCCTGACGTGGCGTAGGCAGCGTGTGTATAATTACTGTGTGTAGTCACCAGACTCCACTGTGGAATGGCAAAAATAGCCCTTTAATGCAGCTGCATGCAGGCACTGATCTCCTCTCAGCTGGCTCTGTATGTAGAGCATCGGTTCAGAGAGCCCCACAAGGCCCAGCATTACAAAGAGTGGGTGTAAACTGGGGTTACTGTTGGTACGCTATGAAATTTTAATAGTTGATGTTCTTAGTAATGTAAAATTACAAGGAGCTCTGTGGAGAACTTTTTTCAGATGAAATTAGAAGTAGCTATACATTGAATACATTGCATTATGATCAGTTATGATAATTCAGCAATGTACAGTACTGTGCAAGAGCCAAAGACCACCCTTCATTTGTTTAATTTCCAGTCAAAATGGCAAAGAAGTACAATGTATGCTGTTTTTTTTTTAGATTTTTCTAAAGAGATTAGATAACAACTTCTAAAATGATGCGAGTTCTGGTAGACCACTAACACTGTCCCCATCAGATAAGCAGCATTTAAGAAGCTTTCATCTTTGAGAGAGAAAATCAAGCTCCACTCTTACTTCAGATCTGTTTTTTCTGTCCATTATTCCACTGTGAGAACTCTGTGCTATGAGTCTGAAAGGATGTGTAGATGTCAAGAAACTCTTACTGAGAAAAAGAAAATAGACAAAAAAGAAGAAAATTTGCTAATCAAACAATAATGCAATGTAATGACCACCCCAGAGTCCTGACCTCAACATTACTGCATGTGTTTGGGATTATTTGGATTACGAGAAGCAAAAAATGCAACCAACTTCTAAGACTGAACTTTGAAGATGTGGAAGAATATCCCTCAAGATTTATTTGAAAAACTGAAAGAAAGCCACTCAAAAAAGAATGAAAGGGTCTTTTATCAGATTTTTTTGTTAAATGTAATTCTCTGTTGTTGTTTTTTTTTCTTGACACTGTAAAATTAGTAATTTGCACTCAATGGAAATTTTGACTGGAAATTAAATAAATGAAGGGTGGTCGTGTATGTACATTTTTTTGGCCCAAATTACAAAAATCTCTATTTTGAAGTGTAAATATCCCTATTAAAAAAGCCTTATTTGTTGTTTTTGTTTTCTGTATTCCACTACTATTTAAAAGTCCTTTCTGTCACGTGTTCAGTGTATTTTAACATTTTCTAATAACTCTGAGCTGTAACAAGAAAATCAAATCTCATTAAATCTTAGTAAATTTTGAGATTTCAAGGCACTTTGAATTATAATCAAATGCGATCATCAGAGGTAACATCCATGTTTTTTTTCTTTCAGTACAGAAACATGTGATACAGTTACAGATGAACTTCCTTATTTCCGGAAGCCACTTCATGCAGCTTTCAATAATGTTGTGTTTGGTTGATAGGGTGATGCGGGCAGCAGAGGAGACCACATCCAGCAACGTATTCCCATTCAAGATTGTGCACTTCAGTAAGAGACACCGTACCTGGTATTTCTCAGCAGCCAGCGAGGACGAGAGAAGGGTGAGACATCTACTAAATATTATACCCATCATCAGGGCTGTCTAGACTGGAGGAGGACTTTCTGGTTGATCTGTCATGGAACACATGCTGACAGTAATGTGACGTATCGTTGTCGTAGCAAAACCGCATATTACCGAAATGGTGACTTTATAGGAGGGGAAAAAAAGCATTTTTATGCATCTATTCGTCATGAAATATCAACACCATCAAGGGCAACTTCTGCTAAAAAAAAATAAATGCCGAAAAAATGGAATTAGAAGGTTTTGATATGACAATGATGGATAATTGTATAGAAAAATTGCTATACTCAAAAATTCAGTAATTTCCATTTTTTGGGGTCCTTTAAGAAAGTCATAAATGAGCTTCTTTGTATGTACAGTAACATGCAAACATTTGGTCAGATGTTTGCAAAATGTTGGTTTTGTTGATTTTCTAAGTGAAAATAAATACGCACACTCTACAGAGAACACACTGTTGGGATTTAGTGCACAATTAAAGTTTATTTGCAACATGTAAATATAGGAAAAAATTATAAAACATAATATATAAAATATGCCATAACTTTGGCCACATTTTGCCACATTTTGTGTTTTATTTTTTCCTATTATGTTCAGTATAGCAAATAAACAGTAGTTGTACATTGAAATATGTGGAAAAGTGCCATATTTAAGTTTTTTTCCCTGTGGAGGGTGTGTTAATATACTTCCACTTAGAAAATGACATATGATTTGACCCAGGGTGTTCAAACTTTTGCATATGACTGTATGTTGTATCTGCATGTCCCATAACTGTACAAAAACCTGCATCTCTCATCTCCAACAGAAATGGATGCGTCATCTGAGGAAAGAGATAGACCACTATAACGACAAGAAAGACTACCTTGATGCCAGGTAACTCTTCTTCCCTTCTTTAAAGGGTGGATTAGAGCTTCTACTGTTTCACTTTCATGTATAATACACTTCATCACATGGCTGGTCACGTAAGCAAGAGCAAGATATCACCTACAACTAAGGCCTGAACTGTTAAGAAAGACTTTACTCAGATAGTGGATTGACCTGAGCTTTTAACCTGTTCGCGCTTGACATACAACACATTTTACATTCATTTTCTGTTGCTTTTTATTTGAGCAAATGTTGCTCTCTTTTAATGTGAAATCAATTGCATGGCTTTAGTTTTCATCACTCTGAATGACACCTTCCAGGGCAGAATTCACCCACAAACATAATAGAACATTTAAAATCCCAATAAATATTCAGTGAATCAGTAGTTATGCCATGACTAGCTTTGCACTTACTAATAACTTGGTATATACTGTAAATTGTACATTTTGGGTTGATCAGTCAAACCACCAGCGTCCCCACCCTCTAAAAATAAATTGTTGTATGAACTTAATTGAGTAATGCCACACATTTTCCTTCAGTCAAATCAAGTAAAGTCAATATAAATAGACTTTGTTACCTCAACATAAAGCTTGGTTGTTCATGGAGCAAAATTGAAACATTTCATTACAATTTATTTGGGGTTTATTGGAATGGAATTCTCTTTGGATCAACATATACAGTTTTCTTTCATTCATGCAAGTGTACTTTCATTAACTTCTGCTTATTTTACATAAACCAGCTACTTAAAGACAACACAGTTCATTTATTTAATGTCAGCATATTTTCAGTCAAACAACCCCCACTGAAAAAATAGGTTACTCAAAGGTTGCTTTAAATGTACTTGATTTAAATGTGTACATTGGTTCCACATGAATGAAATATGTAACACTAGCATGATTGCTGTGTATGTATAAAGTTAATTTGAAGTTAATGTAACATTTTATTTGTGTGGGCTTTTCAGTGTATTGGTTCATTTTTTTTCAGTGTACAGTGTTGTAATACATCTTGTTGGATTTAGTGAATCCAGGGACTTTTCAGTTGTAGCTCTACATTTATAAAAATAAAGCGCCTAGCTTGCTTTTAATTACCCTTGACTTTTTACAGAAGTAGAGACATATTCTCTTTTTTCTTGGAGTTTCTCATACCATCAGCTGTGACCACTTCCCTTTTCTGATAAACGGGCTTTGAGCATGTTACTGATCCATTCCCAGTCTATCTATGTTCCATGGTCGTTCTGATGTAGAGTGGAAATAATGATCAATATATTAATGCAAAATTCTTTTTTAATTCTAGTGAATCTGAGTCTGATGCTGAGAGTTTCTATGGACCAATAGAGAGCCCTCTGGAATTCACCAGTGTCCCAGATCACCCTGAAGAAGGTGGGGTGTGACATAAAACTGCCATTTCCCATTAGATGCACAAAATTGCACAGTACTGTGTAGGGGTGCGGGAAAAAATTGATTCTTAGATGCATCGCGATGCGGACATGAACGATTCTGAATCGATTCACAAATGTCAAAAATCGATTTTCTAAATATTTAATTGATAACGTAATCTTGACGGAACGCAAAACGCGGAACTTGGAAGTGCGGAAGTGCAGCACCCGGACAGTCCGTGGCACATAACAAAAACACTACTGGATGGGCGAGAAATCCGACCGGCTCCCTCTGCATTAAAAGCCAGGTTAGATCAGGAGTCACAACACAAATGATAAGAAGAGCCATTTTGTCCTTTCAACAAAAATCAAACCACCTTGGGAGCCACAACATTTAATGTCCAGTATGTCTCTGTATGTGATAATGTCCTAGTATAGGCTAAACAATATAAACAAAAACGCAGATTTACTTCGCTCTGCTTTAAGCTTTAACTACAGCCGCTTTCCTCCCATCTCCGCCAGAAAACTTTTCCTCAGAAGTAGATCAGTTAAATGTCTCTCAACGTTCGACTGTTTTACGAGGCTGAAGTCGCTTCTTATACTCCAGCTTCTTGTTCAAATTTACCCGTTCCACCTTAAATTCTAACTGAGGTGGCGAATGTAAATGCGGCACCATTTAAGGTGGAACGGGAGAATTCGAAAGAGAAGCGACTTCAGCTTTGCCACTTTTTACTGTTTGACAGTCTCTCGTTGCAGATTTAACTTACCAGGACACCAACTGCGCTGCTTATAAATGCGAATAACGCATCGCTGCTATGTGACCTGCAGTCTGCATGCCGGTTCTCAGTCGTTGCGAAACAGGGCTTTGGTGCTATGTTGCACACGTCCCGTCTCAAAGATACTTTACTGACACAGCGATCCCCCCGTCTATACAATCCAAAACCGAAGTTATAAAATCACTAAAGAAAACGGGTAGAATAGCTGTAACATGTGCTGCGTGGACGTCCATCACCACTGGATCTTATTTCACCGTAACTGCGCATTTTATTGCAGATGAGTGGCAGCAGCTTCTCATGCTCCAAACAAGAGCAGTGAATGAGAGCCTTCTAGTTCACTTGCCACATCACTTCCATTTGTTTTATTAAAAAAAGATATTGGAAGTAAATTCATTATGGATCATTACAAATACTTTGCTTTAAAAGTACCAAGTCACTTTAAATAACAATAACACCGAGTCTCTTAGTCACTTTAAAATGTATATTGTCTGTATATTCTGTGTATATTTTGTGTATATTTTGTGTATATTTAATATGTTTCAGTTGGTTTTTCTTGTATTTTTATTTTTACTTATTTACTTTCTGTAGAGTGATTAGCTGAGCCTCACCACAAGCATTTCAATGCATAAATGTCCTGACATGTTGTGCAAATGACAAATAAACTTGAAACTTGAACTCGAAACTTGAGCTCACACAGTGAGAAAATATAAATGCTATATAGAAAAAAAAGATGCATCGAGATGCATCAATAATTGTTTTATAATCGCATCGCAGCCCTCTGAATCGTAATCGAATCATGAGGTGCCTAGAGATTCCCACCCCTAGTACTGTGCAACAGCCAGAGAAAACCCTGCATTTACTTAAGTTTACAGTAAAAATGGCCATAGTTAAGTACAAGTTATTCATTGTTCAAGAGGTTAAGATATAAGGTAATCCACTTGCATAAAGAAGAGAAAAATAAGTGAAAAAATAAGACTTTCCAAAACTGGAGTTTAAAAAATGATTTAAATATACAGAGAAAATGGGACCCTTAACAACCATGCAAGACCTGGTAGACCACCAACACTGTCCCCGTCAGATAAACAGCACTTAAAGCTTTCATCTTTGAGAGAGAGAAGAAAATCAAGCTCCACTTTTGCTTCAGATCTAAAAAAATCCACAGGTATTTCTGTCCATCCTTCCACTGTGAGAAGGCACCTCAACACTATGAGTCTGAAATGATGTGTAGCTGTCAAGAAGCTCTTACTGAGAAAAGGAAGTAGACAAAAAAGAGGAAAATGTGCGAATCAAACAAAGAACCACCCCAGAGTCCAGACCTCAACATTGTTCAGTGTGTTTGGGATTATTTGGATCTTGAGAAGTAGAAAGTACAGCCAGCTTCTAAAGCTGAACTTTAGAGGAGTGAAAAAAATATCCCTGTAAATATCCCAGCAAGTCTTCTGAAAAGAATAGAAGCTATTATAAAGGGAAAGGGTGGACACACTAAATATTGAAATCATATTTCGAATAAACAAAAGTCTCTGATTTTTCGTACTGACAGTACTGTACTTGGTAGAAAGTTTGAAATTGACTGCAGCTTACAGTTGTCATCCTTTAATGGCAATGACCTCTATGGACCTTGTATTAATACCTGAACTTATTTATTTAATTTTTTTAGATTATATGTCACAAGATGAAGACAGTGATGAGGAGGATTATCTTAAACCTGATGGCTCACCAGGTAGCAGTTGTATATTACCTATGCATTTTAATACATTATTTTACTTCTTTATGTACAGTTGTCCTCAAATTGCCAAATGTAATTAATCTCATCTGGGGCTTTTCCAGGCCGGCCGACAGTACCACCTCCATCTTACCCTCCACCACCTGTCCCACACCAGGATAGAGACGTCTGCACTCCCAACCACCCTAAAGGACCTCCACCTCCAGTGCCCCCTCCACCCAACAAGACCCCCCCATGCCCATATCCCAAGAAATCCATAGCCATAATGCCAGGCCCTCCTATCCACTTAGACTCCATAAACAAATGCCCACCGCCACTGCCACCAAATCCATCCCACCCTCCCAAACCATTCCTGAACAGGACCACAGGAGGCTCCGTCAATCCAGCTCCCCCACCTGTATTCCTCAAAAAGTCCATATCAACCCTTCCTGCATGTGACAAGAAGCCTGCTTCCTCTGTGGTCATCAAAATTCCCTCCACTCTTCCCATCTGTCACGATCTGGAAAAGAAACTGGTTCTGAACACTGGGGAGAAACCAAGGCTGCTCAACATGCACAACCACTCCCAAGGGAGCAAATCAGCGGAGGAAAGAAAGCCCAACTCTTCCACACCGACAGCCAATAAGTCTCCTCTCATGATACCCAAACCTCCACCACCAGGGGTTAAGCCCAAATCCATCCGGCCATCTCTCCAGTAGGTGTCCTCTTCCATTCATTTTTTTTTAGTTTGAGCTAGAAGTTTCCATATTATGGAAATCCTGATTGTCTTTGCTGTTTTCAGCTGAAAGGTTGTGATATGTATAAATTGTTACTTTCAAAACTCACTCCTCTCCCCAGTTGGGTCATTCTCACTCAAACCGTACATTGAAATGAAGCAGCAAAAACAGCTTATTTTAAATTTATCGTGGTTGAGATGTCACAACCATTACTGCATTTACATATGAACACACATTCAGGCTTTAGCAGTCGAGCCTGTCTATTCATGCTGAAGTCATGTGGAGTGTTGTTACTGTAGACAGTCTGTAGTTGTTGTGGTGGAAATTGTGGGAAAACAGTCAAATGTCGTGCTGTTCCTGGCTGTCAGGAAGCTAATGGGTCATAGGATAAGCCTTGCAAAGCACCCACCCATCCCGAAAGTGTCAGAAAGTTTATTTTTTCTGATGTTTCCTGAGGATTTAATTCTAAATTTAACAGTTTACTCTGTATGTTTCAGTCCAGACAGCTTTTTGAACAAGCCAGGGCAGAGCTGACAATAATAACACATAATTACATATATTAGCCTTAAAGACACAATAAAAAAACAGCCTGTTTGATTCCTGACAAACAGAAGCTGGAAAATAGTAATGTCCAAATGAACTATGACTGTTCTGATAAAAGCACACAAACACTATAAGGGGCTGAGAAAAAAATAATAAGCAAGATAAATGCAAAATATTGATTCTAAATCTTCAACGCTGTCATAGATGCTTTGTTTGTACATTGTTAATACTGTGGTAAGAAGATTTATTAGCACATTAAATACTTTATTAAGCTGCTTTATCTCTTTCACTGTTTGTGAAAATGATGAGTAATTGACTAATTGAGAAAGCCAATAACAGAATAGAGCTAATGAAGCTTCTGACGTTTGTAAGCAAACTCATGAAGGTGTACATTTTCACATCACTTTCCTCTCAGAAGATCGTCCCCTGATGGCCAAAGTTTTCGATCCTCCGTGGAGGAGAACCCCTTGAAAAGGAGAGCCAAATTAGAGAATGGCAATGAAGACTCCGATGACGATGACTATGAAAATGTGAGTGAACTTTATGCACACCACCCACTGCCTATGGGGACACGCATTACAATAAGGTTGGGCCTTGAGTCACTTCCTCAAAACTTACGCCAAAAATAGATTCAGTTTTGTGTGGGATTTACATCATGCTCTCTTTATAGCTGTCTTATGTTATGGTTTGCTGTCGCTGCATGAACTCAGGGTGTTTTTTTAGCTTTTTTTGCTGCACCGAAGCTCAGTTAGTCATTTTTCCAACGTTAGGCAGTAACTTAAGTGAGGAAGATGTTAGGATTCTTCAGTATAAACAAAGACACAGTGGACACAGAGACATGTAATATGCTTAAAGGAATAAGCATGAATAACTCATTCATGATCATTGTCTGTCTCACATTTTCAGGTGCAGTTGCCTGACTCTGTCTTTGTGGACACAACAGAGACCACCGTTGTTGAAAAGTAAGACTTGTTATTCATGGCTTATTTCTGGTTGCTGTATGTGATGGTAAAAGCCACATTAAGCATTGCATATGTATACTGTAAAAACAAAAATAATTAACTGTCAAAGTACTGTAAAATTTAGTCTTAAACGAGTCTAGTGTTCATGTAGTTTACGTCTCAGTGATGTCCAAGCTCAAGTAGGAATCTTCATCAAAGTCTAACAACACTAAAGCTATTCAATCCCCCCCTCTAGTGGACTACAGCAGCAATTATGTAGTAAAGTGTGTACACATGAAGGGGAATTCCACTGTAAAATTTCAACCAAAATTTCTGGTTGAAATATAAACGTTCAAACAAGTCATTCAGATTGTTGTGATTTGAAATGATTCATTTGTTGAGAAACTTGGATTTTTTACAGTAGTGGTGATAGGAACCAGACGTCCTGATGTCGACAATGAAAATATAGCCTGTTTATTTACTATCTCCAGTGAACCTACACGTCTTTTTGATTATGGTAAAATAGTGGTCAATCTGAAAAAAATAAGTTTAATACGTTTTCTTTGGGGACTGTTTTGCCTTACAACACAATTCTTTTATCATTCCACCATAAATTGATTAAAATAAACTGATTAAAATACATTTTAGGCCAAATTTTATCACAAAGCGACCGTGAAACAACATCGCAGACATCAGACAGTGTATTCATAACCATTCTATGTAATAACTTTCTGTGAGGTAGCTTTTAAAGGTGTTAAACTCTTTAGACGTCTGGTTCCTATTACCACCACTATGAACAATTCTGACTTGGTAAGTTTTTCTGGATTTAAGCATTTTACGGGAAAACCACTCTGAATGATTTTGACACACTAACCATTTAATTATGCAGAAATTTTGAAAAATCAGTGGAGTTCCCCTTCAAATATTTCTCTCCCATTCTCTCTCTCTCCTCTCATTAATCCTTGCTTTTTTCTCTCACTTCAGATTATTTAAAGAGGGAGCCAGTTCCCCACAGGACGGCCTCTACTGCATCCGAAATTCAGGAACAAAGACATCAAAGGTACAGCACAGCATGATGTATATACAGATAAGCAGGATGTTATGCAGTCATGAAATGAGCAAGTGTATGTGTGTGTTTAACTGTGCTCATTTTGTTCTTCTGAAGGTGCTCGTGGTATGGGACGTGAGTCTTAACAAGGCCAGAAACTACAGAGTCTTTGAGGAGGTAAGTGTCATTAATATCTCTATGTGTTAAAGACAACCTGAAATCAAAACAGACCTTTTTTACCTTGTTTATTTGTGTCTTTGGTCACATTATCCCCTTAAATGGCCAGGGCCCACCAGCAGGCCCAAAGTTTTATTGCACACTTCTCTAACCTAATAGAATAGCTGAGCCAGTTTGCATTATTGCCAGTTGCAAGTCCCTGTGGTTACTGAATAATAAGCCTTAGTATATAATAAGCCTGGGATTATAGGGGGTCAAGCATAATCCATTGTGTCATATTATTCAAAAGACAATATTTTTGTTTCTCCATAACCTTTGATCAAAGTATAGTCATTTCTGGACTTCTCTAAACACAGTCTGACATTTGGTTGCGTCAGCGTGTGCCAACGTCCGGGAAAACCAGTAATATCTTAGCAAATTTTCCCTCCTCCTCTTCTATCACCCTGACCAGTCATAGGGTGAAAACACCTTCAGCACCTCTGCTCTGTGCTGTACGAACATTACGTTGGCATATGAGCTCCTTTCTTCTCCTCACTTTACTCTCTTCGTTTCAGTGTTCGGTTGTAAAATAATCACTTATGAGTTATTTTAGCTTGTTTACATTGAAAACCCATGTTAATGCTAACATGAGTGAAGTAGTTTTCTGCCACGTTGTGAGGTTAAGGGGATGGGAGGGGGTCAGCTGAAGAAGAGGGGGACAACACGGATGCTAACCTCGGTAAAAAGAAAACGAGACAATAAAATCAACAATTAATTCAACAATTAGACAATAAATTCAACAATTAATCAATCGTGTTTCAAAAACTACGGAAAATACACACCAAAATGTTGAAGTACTTCGTTTGCTGACCAAATCAGGTTATTTTTATGTATTATTTTTCTTGCTTTTCTGCAAAACAGATGGATCCTACTGACAATAGGTCTCTGATTCTGTGTTCGTTCCAGCATGCCCATTTTTCACGATTGAATCAAATCCCGAAAAACAAAATTGTGTCCTGCCCACAATCATTTCTCGCCCAAGCAGCCTGTTTCTCTCGGAAGATTCGTCACATTGAGGAAGAAAAGTGTGTTCTGATTTCTGATTCACATTGACTTTAAGATCGAGTTAAGGTCCCAGTTCAGACAATTAAGACAAGCACACGCCATTAAATCCACACCAATAAGCTTCGATTAGGGCTGAATGAATTGGGACAATATCATATTGTCAGTATTGCAATGTAAGTTGCGAAGATTGTTTAAAATTACTCTGCAGGCCTGTATTGGTGCTCTACATAGCCTAACCTTCCACTGTTTATTCCACTGTGATGTAATTCCACTGTTTATTTAAATACATGGGGCCATACACAGTGTTAAAACGACTGATAATCTAAAGTTAAAGTAGAGATTCTCTCCAAAAATTACTCAGATATTGGCAGTTACCGCTCTCCTCCAAGCGTGTTGAGCTGTCCAATAACATTATGTTAGCAGGAGTTTGAAAAGAAAAGAATTGCGCTTCACGTGTCTCAGAGGAAGCACATACAAGCTTTCACCCTTCTAGCTTAGTAGCATCACATGATGGGGGGACCTAGCTAGTGGGTGAGAAATGGCCACAACAAAACTGGGAAGAAAATAGTGTGAAAATCTGAAAAGCAAGCAAACCAAAAAAGAAAGCACATTTAAAAAGCCTGTATGTTAAATAGAATTTCTCTTGCTTTTTTTGAAATAATGGAGTTTAAAGTAGTACGTGAGCATTGCCATTACTCAGTTTATACAGTCCATATATGGAAACTATAATACAATTTTGGACCTCAAACAAATTACTTGCACACCATCCATGAAAAACTACTGTGTTCTTTTAAAATATAGTGGAATATAAGATACACAGAGGACAGAGCTACTTAAAGTGCAGATCATTTTGAAAGCTTCTTGTGTATAGTCATGTAAAAGTTGTTTTTCTCTGCAGGTAATATCTGTAATTTATCTATTTATTGGTGTAATGACAATTTGGACATATTCAGTGCTAGTGTTACAATGTTGAGAAATGTGTGCTGAATGCGTATGAAGTAAATACCTGAAAGAAAAGAAAAGAAGAAAGACACATTTCCCTTACAAACCCAAACAGACTTCAGACTCAGCCAAAACATAATTATCCACACTCATTGTTCTGTGTTTTCTCTCTCTCTCTCTTTCTCGCCCCCGATCTACAGGACTCAACAGTGTTCCTGGAGGCAGATATGACCTTCCCATCTTTGGCAGCTCTGGTGGAGCACTATTACAGCCACCCCCTGCCCAACCACGGCTCCCTGTGCTTACAGCAGCCTTACGGTTACACGCCGCCCAGGTGACAGCATCCTCCCTCCTCCAGCATCATGGACTCTTTATCCACAGCTCTGTGGCTTCAGCCCTGCAGTGCAGACACAACTGCTCCCCCTGCTGGCTGCAGCATCTCACTACAATTACAGTGCTTCAGCACTATAGACAAACTAGATTTGCCAATGTGTTTGGGAATACGGATGAACGGATATGGACGCATGTGAGCACCTCGGGGACAAAAAGAAGTTTGCATAGATGTAAAGAAAAAAACGTAGAAGCTACAGAGATCAATCTGAACTTCATTCAAACTGTACCTGGTGGAGATCTGAATTCAGCAATTAGAGGTTGCTGATGGTTATGTAGCCATTCCATCTTTTGCACAGAGACAAACCTGCTGTCGTTTCTGCTGAAACACACCATTTCAAAAGGGAAATAAATGGTCAGGAATATTTATCATTCATCTTGATAAAAGGAGCATGTGGTGAGATATTGCTCAGGGTATGACGATATAATGTTGTCATCATGAAAAAGTTACATCCCAGTATGCAGAGAAGTTTGGAAGAGGCTCCTGAGAGGTGGAGCTGTTTAATGCTTTGCCCTCTAGACAGAAGATTGCAAGTTTAAATGCTCACGACGCCAGGAGTCCAGATTAAGAAGCCCTGCTTAATGTGATGTAGTGCTGTGCTGTTTGTGAAATATTGGAACAGTTTTGCCTTTTATTATAATATTTTGCACAGGTGGGGCACTGGATCAAATATCATGATTTTATTGCTGTTTTGCCCATTCATAGTTCAGGGCAAAACACTGTAGAATTTCCCATATAATGTCTTCAGGAGGTCTTGTCTGAGAACATGTCTTCAGGAAGTCTCATCTGAGAACATGTTTGAACTACATTGCTGTTCAAAAGTTTGGAATCACTTGAAATTTGCTGTCATTTTATTTAATAATAAGTTAAAAAGTGTAGATTGAAGTACAGACAGTATTTTTTATTTTTAGTAGTTTTATTTAATATAGTCAAAGAAAAGTGTTTTGCAACACACACACATAAACACACACACACAATCTCACACACACACACACACACACACACACACATACACATATGTTCTAAGTCACTTATCCTCATGGGTCGCAGGGGGTGGTGGAGCCTATCCCAGGGCTCATTGGGCGGAAGGCAGAAAACACCCTGGACAGATCGCCATTCCATCACAGGGCAGACACACAAACCCAGGCCCTTCTTGCTGTTTTGGAACATCAAAAATGTATTAAATCATAAATAATATACTTGAGTTATCTATTTATAGTCAGTTCTTGTTTTTTGCACCTTTTGCACCTGAGATTTCTGCATTTTCAAACAGAAGGCATTTATTGTATTAAAACTTCATTCTCATTGTCTCTCAGTTATTCGAGAATCGTGTACTGGGTCTAAATTATATGAATTGTTCTACAGCTTTCTACAAGGTAGTTGTGGTGTGTAGAGTGGTAGCATCATATTAGAATCATATTGCATGCCTTCAGCAAAATTGGCTTTACATTATTGAATGATTCCAAACTTTTGACAGTAGTGTAAATGTTACACAGTGTACACTTATGTATGGATTTGAAGTTCTTCATATGGATTATTAGATTTTAAATCAGAATTAGATTGCCATTGCCTGCTTTAAGACTACGTTATGAAAGCCAAACAAGACAATTCTTATCAAATACACAAAACTCCAAAAGCTGTCAGCAACATTGTACATTGTTACATAGTCCATCGTTTTCATATTCTATGTAAATACTGTAAACATTCTGTTAATTTAGTACAATCTTGCATTTTATAATTATATATTAGTTTGTACCTTTTTTAAAGCCTGAATTGTGAAAATGCACATATGTAAATAAAACCTCTTTGTACTGTAGCTGAATGATGCTTTTATTCTGAGAGAGTGCGAGTGCTGCTTGGAAAGAGTAAAGGATTGCACTGTATGCTGCAAAAAAAACAGTTATCAGTTTATCCTGGAGGATAAATACTAGAAATGTGTTTATTCTCAACACATATAAAATGAAGCGTCTGTGACTTACGCAGTATCAACTCTGTAAATGATTTGAAAAATGTGATTGTGTGGACCTTTCTGGGACCTCAGTAGAGGGGTCATCTTATTTATAACTGCTTAACCAAAACTCCTGGGAGAAACATCACATGCTTTTTGGTTCTTAGCAAACTACTGTGATATCTACACACAGTGGAAATCTAATGGCGATTAGATATCAAATTCTTCACAATGTAGATTTGATCATAAAATTCCCTCGACATTATAGCCTCCTTGAAAATGTTCAGTGTACACTAGTGAAGAACTAATATCAGGGACACTCAAGCTGTACGTATCCAAACCAGCGCACCTAAAAATATTTCGCTAAAACATACAACGAATGGAATCGATTGTATCAGACAAGCTGTAATTCAGGTTTATTTTCAGTTTGTAAAGTACTTGACTGGACAAAACAAACTGCTGAGCAAACCAGTCAAAATTAGAGGCAAAGTTAGAATTGTCAAAAATAAACAAATAAATTAATAATGGATCACTAAATTATTAATTAGTGCTTTACCTTAGTGCAAAGTGCTTTACAAGGAGAAATGCACATAAAAACAAAACAGAAAAAATAAAACAATGAACAACATATGAAAATAAATTAAAAAATCAAAAAAGTAAATGAAATAAAATAAGAAGAATAAAAATATAACTAAGTAATAAAAAATATAAATAAAAGGTAAATAAAGAAGAAAAATAGTAATATGAAATAGGGAAAGCAATGCATTACATTAAAAAAAACATTTAAATAAATGAAACTGGAACTCAGAAAAAAACATTTTAGAAAAATCAAATAAATAAAATTGGCAAAAACTGAACAACACAATGACAAAACTTGTCTCTCATCTCAGTTTCTTATCAGAATTTCTCACAATAAAAATGCAATCATTTGACATTTGGGGACACATATACACTTAGAGGTTGTTTTTTTAAATATAGATATCTTGCTTTTAAGGTGACATAAACAAAGTGAAGTTAAGTCTAAATGTTAAAGAGAATGAGAAGGTCATTTAAATCACATGAAACGCTATTTAAAAAAATATATGGATTGTAGTTCACTCAGATAAAAAAGCCCTGATCCACAGCTATTTGGAGTGCTGTATGCAGACATTAACAGTGAATGGAGTTTCTTTTTCTGGTATTTAGTGCCATATGATAAGACAAACACAAGACTTTTTACAAGAAACAGCAGTTTTTGTTGAAGACTCTATGGCTATTTTGACATAAAATCACTCCCCTGATCTTACTGTCACAGCCTCTTTGCATCAAGGTTTGAATAAAGCCTTACTATGCAGCAGATTAAGCCTGGTAGAGCTTGGCTACTAAATAAGTCATTATAATGGAGGTTCATAAATATTCTGAGATTGGACATGTTGAGTGAGGGAAAATCAGCCATAGACCATGTAACATCTTCCCAAGGCCCTGAAAAGGATCCAAAAAATATCCGGCCTTTTATTGCAACATTTACATTCTGGTTAACGCCTTTGCTATCGTGCTTCTATCATAATATTAGGCGCACAGGATATTAGTGCGGAGCTCTTCAAAGCCTTAATCAAATCTGAGATGGTAAATATGAAGTATTGCAGATGAGACTATACGAGAGAAGAGACACCAGACTTGTGAATTAATTAACAGGGCATGCTGGGTGTCTGCAGGCTTTACTGCCAACAGCCTCCCAAACACATTCAGCCTTTTAGAAGGCATTCAAGAAAATGATCTAACAACTATGAATTTCTGTTTTACAGATGAGGAAAAAAATCAATAAACGAAGTCAGGTAGTAATATAGAGAACGAATGACAGATTAAGTGCAGGTTATTTAAATCTTTCTTTCTGATGTTTTGTCATACTAATTACCCACCTAGCCTTCATACTGCATCTAATTTATGTTAGTTTGTTTATTGATGCGCTGTTCATTATCTTACTAATGAAGTGATTTTGAAACGGATGAGCCTCCATCCATCTAACCATCCATTTGTTCATTCATTCAATCAGTAATTTATTGAGTCCCTGGTTAAGAGCGCATTTGTGATGATTACTCGACATAACCTTTGATAATCTCAGCACAGGACCCATGAGCCTGCGTCCTATTGGCACCATGGACGTGCACTGGAGGTCAACGTACCATTTTTGCGTGCTGTGCAGGGACTGTTCATGGTCTCTCAAAGCTCCTGTGCACAACCATCTTTGGAGGCCCCCACAATATGATATATAGCAGATGTGTTTATATACACTATGGACTGTCCCCCCCAATCTTTAAGCCACCTTGGGCCTTGTGATATGAGGCTCCCCGAGTCCCCTAGCAGTCAGAGGCCCCTGAGCACTAGTCCCCGCTGGCTAGTTATGTCAGTGCTCTTCCCTTCAAGTCAATAGTCAGTGTTTAGTATCTGTGGATTTTTTCCAATTTTATAATTTAGAAAGTTTGATGTAGTCTGTAAACATTGCTAAACTGTCTACATGTACCATTCAGTCGTGTCCATGTGGAAACTAAGCTGCAAAAACTGAATCATTTTGGTTTTGACGTCACAATTATAACCACATTGACACATGGTGGCCCATTTAGCCTATAGCAATTAAGCCCATCTATTTATGCTAAAATGATGCAGAGTGTTGTTACTGCAGACAGTCTGTAATTGATTTTTGGGGGTGGGATTATTTGGATTTTGTTGTTTTTGTGATGTCATGGAAATCAGCCAATTTTTATATGCCTCTTTAGTTTACAGAACTTTAGCCACCCATAAGGTTATTATATGGAACTGCAAATAATGAGTTAAAAACGCTCTGGTTCTACAAACACTGTGAGAATATGATGCACATATCCTATTAATGTTTTCAGCGGGAAGTTTTGGTTTTTTTTGGTCCATCTGGGAACATTCTCTGAAAACATTATCATGTAGCATAATCTGTGACCCTGACAAAGTCCTCAAAACATCCTCTGAATGTTACAGTTCCTCTGAATGTTGCAAATGTTATGTCTTGGTTCAATGTTTCTCAACCCTGATCCTACAGGCTTTCTGCCCTGAACATTTTAGAGTTTTCCCTGCTCCCAACACACCTAATCCAACTAATCAGCTCATAAACCCTTACTGAGTCCAAGTGTCATCACATCAAATCACTCTGAGTGACTTTGTTTACATTTAAACCATTTAATTATGCTCGAATTCTTTTAGAAAATTATTTCACCCTGTCCTTCAAAGATCATGACCCCCACAGGACCACCACATTGCAGGTATTATTTGGGTGG